CTGGGGTAAAAGAAAAAGCCAGTCCAGCAGGGCCTGAAGCCACCTGAGACTGAGTGTGCAGATGCAGCTCACATCCACCCCTACGTGATCAAACCCCATCTCACGTGGGAGCAATGGTTTCCTCCAGACTTGTGAATCTCTAGGATTTTTACCTTCCTTTCCCTCGGTTCAGCTCTTAGCAGAAATAGTGATAGGAGAGCAGGAACATCTGGTGGCTGTTTCTCATCTCCCATGAGGCCTTCCTGCAGGTCGGGATTCCCGTCACCTTCCAGACACAGCAAAGGTCTCTGCCCTTTGCAAACAAAAGAGGCCGACCTCTCGGCTATGTGTTCCTTCTCTGTCTTCTCTCTGTGCCCAGGGTTCCCCTCACTGTTGTGTCACTGTTGTGTCTGGCTGTGAAAGCCAGATGTGAAAGCCCCCCCTGACTTCCTGACACGGTCGTGCTCAAGGACAGCCTTGTGACAGCTTTCAGTTCAGGTGCTGTGGTGTCTGTAATGTGTCAACTTGGCCTCACTGGACTGCATTTCCCAGATTCCATTCTCTGTGTGTTTCCAGGTAGGTGGGCCCCAGGGGTCATCCTGTGCCCGATGCTCTCAGAAGGCCCAGCTGCTGCCCCAAGCCAACCAGGCGACCCAGCAGTGACTGGCAGTGAGCATGAGCTGCCCACCAGCTGCTCACTGTGTGGATGCAAACTCATGCCTATATGTTTAGGTTTTGTTAAGACATCCCAGTTCTGGGTACCAAAATCAGCATCAGTCATCTACTGCTGAATAACAATTGCCCCAAAATTCAAATACTAAATAACCAATAAACATTGATTATCTCTTGCAGTTTCCATGGGTCAGAAATTCAGGAGTGGCTTTGCTGGATGGTTCTGCCTCTGAGGTCATTCATGCAGAGACTGACCAAGTGTTGGGTCAGGGCTGTGGTCATCTGAGAGCTTGACAGGAGCAGGGAGATCCACTTCCAAGGTGGCTCACACACACCTGGCAAGTCGGGGCTGGTCATCGGCAGGAGGCCTCAGTCCTCTCCGCATGGGCCTCTTCACAAGCTGCCCAAGTGTCCTTGCAGCATGATGGCGGCTTCTCCCAGTGACCCAGGAAGCAAGGCAGAGGTCTTTTATGACCTGGCCTGGGAAGTCATGCCCTGTCATTTCCGCAATATTCTATTGGTCACAAAAGTCTGCCCTATTCCATGTGGGAGGGGATACACCGGGGCACAAATCCCAGGATGTGAGAATCCTTGAGGCCATCTGGAGGCTGGCTGCCACCTGCCATCCCACCCCGGACCCCCACCCCAGCTGGACCTCTCCTTCTGTGGGCTGGTCAGCTGGGCACAGTAAATCTTATCCCTGGATGCTAAGCCTGTCTGTCAAGGTCACTTCTCTCATGTGCTGTCCATTCCGTCCTGCTGTACTTTTTTCCTACCAGCTTCTTCTGCTAACATTACCTCTAGTCACTTTTACTGTGCCCTAAGGAACCTTTATTGATATGTAAAGGAACTTACCCCCTAGCCTTGATTACCATGAGGCTCTCTTCCCACCCCACCCCCCGCCACGTCCCGAGGAAATGGCCCCTCTGGACCTCCCCCAAGTAGATGCTTCCTCAGTTTCAACAGCTGCCCTTCATACTCCACTCAAGCTGATGGATGGCCACAGCCTGCAGCTGGTCACCTGGAATGACCTCACCTCTGAAGTCTTCAACTTGTCAAATTCTGACCCCAGCCTCTTCAGCTGCCAGCTTCCTCTTTGCCATATCCCTGCCATCCTTGTTCTTTGAATTTATGAAGCCCTCCAGGCCATTCTCTGGGCGAGCCTCCCCTTCTTACCTTCTTTCCCAGAACAACCTAAGCCCTGTGATGCATCACTTCATCCAGATTTACCAGCACCCTCCGTGCTCTTGACTCCTTATAGTTCCATCATATCTATCCTACAAATGGTCAGATTTATAGAGAACTCCATCCAGGACTTCCAATCCCAGACAAGTTAGAGTAGCAAAGACCAGATTTACCCTCCTAATTGAAACAAATAAAAAATTGGGGGAAAAAATATTTTTTAAGATGGTTCTCAAGTCACTGGACATCAAATAATGAAGGGAACAGGAAACAAGTTAGATGAACCCTAGGATCCCCCAGCTAACAACAGCCTTGAAAGAATTTCCAGATAATGGGTACGGGAAGGGGGAATCCAGGTGTAACCCAGTGGTCTCCCTTATTTGAAAGGAGAGTTCCCTTATTTGAAGTGAGAGTTCAAAAAAGCCAGGGTGGTTAGAGTTTGCAGGGCAGAGCAGCAGAGATGAGATGATGCATAGAGAAGGAATTCTGAACATCTGCACTGTCCCAGTCAAGTCTTCAGTTAAGTACTGATCAGGATAAACATGGAAAGGACTTGAGGCCAAAGAAAGAACGACTCAAAAAGATTGGAAGGAAGAATACTCAGAGTTCACACGGAGCCATATAGCTCCTATTCCCATTGGATAGAGAACCCAGAAAGCTTTGGCCTCAGCAAGTGGGGAAATTATCTCTAGACTAAACACAGCTGTAGTCCTGCCTAGCGAAGCAATAACCAAAAGGATCAAACTGTTTCCAAGTAGCTTAACTGCACCACAGAACAAAACTCAAGAATATAGGGATACAAAAATATCCCGCACCCAAGAAAGTAAAATTGACAGTGTCTGGCATGCAATCCAAAATTACCAGGCACACAAAGAAGCCGAGAAATATGACACACAAAAAAAGAGGAGAAAAAACAATCAATTGAAACTAACCCAGAAATAATATGGGTGATAGAATTAGTAGACAAATACATTAAAGCAGTTATTTTATAACATTATTCCAGATGACCAAGAATCCAGAGAAAAGATTTAGC